TAAGACCGTGAAAGGTTATGTTTGCAATCGAATGACAATGACAAGCATTTGAAGTTTCATGTAAATGTCAATACAATATGAAACAGTGTTCCAAAGGAAGATTCATTTTGAGATATTTTTTTACAAACAACAAAAAAGTGTTTATTGAACTCAAGTTAAAAAATATACAAAATGATCCCATTGGATTACTTTTTAGTCCTTTTGGATTAATCGTAGCTGAAAATCCCAAAATACTAAATATTAATACCACCGATATAAGAGTGTAGCATTGTTCTGCCATTGCTAAAAAAAATAATTACGCTTCGCGTTATTCCACAGATCCTGTTAATGAAACGGCTTCCATTATATTTATTACCGAAAATAATATTAAAAAGGTTCCACTTGGCAGCGAATCATTCAATAAAAGTCAACAATATCTGGTAAGCCGATTTTTAACTAAAATAAAACAAATCTCATTTTAATTAGCATCACTGACAATGTTTGCTTTCTATACGTATAGGCAAATATTCAAACGTTTGACATTTGGCATGCCAACCGAACAATTTGTGCCATAAATGGATCAAATAGCAACAATCCCAAAGATCTGACATGTTTAAATGTCGACAATTTCAACGAAATATGGAAATTTCCAAAGCCAGAAATCATCACGAGATTGAATTGTAAGTATTTTTAAGTAGTTTTTTTCTCTCCTATTATAAAATTCAGATCCTTTAAAAAAAACTGTATTATTTAATGTATCGATTTTTTTTTTATTCAAAGCCGTTGATATCTTGAGAATCGATTGGATTACAGGAAACTGGTATTTCGTAAATACTGAGAATGGATTGATTGTTTTATGTAATCCAGCAATGACGTTGTGCTCAATTATTGTTGAAATCAGCCGCCAAAAAATAAACACACTGGAATTAGATCCACTCAACGGGTAAATTTTTTAATTTAATATATTTTTTTTAAATAATATTTGTGTAACAGTAAATAATCCATGTTTTTCTTTTCATTCGAAATTGACGAACAGTTTAATATTTTTCACAACATCAGATTCGTTTGGCAGTTTACTTCAAGCAAATATGGATGGTTCTAATCAGACAATTATCGATTCGTACAAGATTTTCTATCCATCTAGTTTGAAATTGGATTTGGCAAATGAACAGATTTATTGGCTTGATAAGTACATGGATTACATTGAACGGGTTGATTACAGTGGCAACACTCGATGGTCATTAAAAGCACTTATTGGTAGTTCAATGCGACCAATGCACGCAATCGCTTTGTTTGAAAGTAATATTTACATAACAAAGCGATCGATGTCACATTTAGAGATGTGGCGCATCAATCGACGTAATACAAGTTCGGTTGAAAGAATTTTTGTCACTAAAGAGCAACCGCTTGAAATGCGTATATTTCATGCTCAAAGTCAACCAAATGCACCAAAATCGTGGATTGATCCAAATCCGTGCTCGAATAATACAACACATTCGATGAATTGCGAGCATTTGTGCGTTTTGGCTTATGGTATAACAAAAAAGATACAAGCCCAATGCATATGCAGTGCCGGCTATCAATTAAAAAATCAACATAGATGCGTTTTGATTAAACAAAATTCATTTTTAATATATGCCAAACAAAGTCCAGATATGATTCGAGGTATATCGATTTCGAATACAACAGACATTTTAGATGCACAAGAATGTATGGTGCCAATTTTAAATGTAAAAAGACCACTCAGCCTGGATTATAATATGAAAAATCAACTGATATACTTTGGACAAAATGACATGTACGTATTTCTATATAATTCCAATTTAATTTGTAATTTTAAAATATGTTTTCTTTTTATTTCGTTGTTTAGAGCAAGCCATGAGTATATAATCGAATCACAAAATTTGGATGGAACGAAACGTACTGTCATTCAACAAGGTCGTGGTCATTGTCATAGCATTGCATACGATTGGGTGGGAAATAATATTTTCTGGGCATCCACAAGAAAAATTGATGTTTTCAATTTGGCACATCCTAATATCACGAAAACACTTATCCATATAGTTAATGCGGGGTTCGTTTAATTTTGATAACATAACTTCATTTCTTGAAGTTATGTTATCAAATAAATATTTTTTCTTAGATCGATCGCGTTGCATCCCAGCAAAGGTTTACTGTTTTGGTCAACATGGGCATCCGAAAATAGTATAGGACAAATCATGGCATCATGGTAATCTTTTAGTTTTTCTTCTATCGTTTGAAAAGAACGAGATTTTTTATTTATTCGACTGATTTTTTCTCACATATTGAAATTATTTATTCGTTGTTTTAGGATGGATGGAACTCATAAAACTGTATTTGTTGATATGTGTTCGAACAGTAACAATTGTACGAGCATTCAATGGCCATCTAGCCTAACAATTGACTTCACTGAGAATTATTTATATTGGTGTGATATACGCATGCAAACCATTGAACGAATTGGATTGGATAATAAACATCGTGAAATTATTCTACAAGCCAATAGAAACTTTCATCCATATTCAGTGGCCAGTCACAACGCATTCATTTACTTTACAGACACATCTAACGGAAATATTACGAAATTCAATGTAAACGAGGCGAACAATCAACGGTAAATGCAGTAGAAACATATTTTTTTATGAATTGAAATAAAAGTTATTTTTTATTATATTTTAGAAAATTCACATTATTGTCACAAAAAAATCATCGAATAACTCACATCAAAATTTTCGATAATGTAACTCAATCGAATTCAGAGATATGTTATAATAAGCCCTGTCCAGGTCTAATGTTGGCCACACCAAAAGGATGTGTTTGTGTTTGTGGTAATGATTTTGATTTGAATGCAAGTGGAACACAATGTTTACGTCAAACGAAAACAACCGTTAAAAATACATGCACTGCCGGTAAGAGTGAATATCCTAATAATACTCATCTTTCAAAATTAATGCGAATATTTGAAAAAAAAAAAAAAAAAAACACAGGTCAGTTTATGTGCAAAAGTAGCGGCGAATGTATTAATACATCATCATTATGTGATGGGGACGCAGATTGCATACATGAAAGTAATGGAGAAAATTCGTACTCAGATGATGAATCTTATGCAGATGATGGACCATGTAACATCAAAAATAACAACTGTACCTTCAACGGTAAAAAAAAGTTGCTTGAATTTGAAGAATTCCTATGTTTAAATTTCAAATATATTGATCTCCAAATAGACGGAAGGGGTTTCTTATGCGATGTTAATCGATGTTTACAAAAAGTTGTTTTGTGTGATGGAATCACGCAATGTGAAGATCGGAGCGACGAAAGCCCTGAACGATGTGCTATTACTCCTTGTCCACCAGATAAATTTCAATGTAAAAAATCCAAACAATGCATTTCCAGAAATTTTCTCTGTGATGGTACCTATTTTTTGCTACATATTTTTACGTGGATTTTTTCTTTCAATATTGTTTTTTTTTTATTATTATTTTGAGGTACTTTGTCTTGAGGTGAAAATCATAGCATTTCATCATAGTTCTTATTAAAATTTTCAACATTTGTCGACGTAAAATGTTCTACGTTTGAGCTTTCGATCGTATAGCAACACCAACATACACACACACACACACGATAGGCATGAGGCAATCATAATTTTATTATGGCGAATTTTTGCAACTGAAATTGACTGAACTAATGCGATTCATGTCAGAGAGAAGCAAAAAAAAATGTTGCTAGAATTTGTTTTGTTTTAAGACTCGATAATTTTTGTTGTTGTTGTTGTTGTTGTTGTAAATTTCTGCGTTTATCTCTAGCGAAAAGATAAACAACCACATATATTAGTGTACTGCAAGGCATTAATAAATATAATGAACTGTTCCGTGCATGGTAAATGACTCGTTCGTTTAATTCGTGCTAAACGCCCCAGCCATTCGTATACAAATACGATTGAGCGAGAAAGTTGCATTTGCACACACACTAATTGGTAATTTTGAAAAAAAAAAAATTTATCTACCAGATATAATTGTGGCAACGGTTAGCAAATGTGCTTTGCAAAAGGGACGGAAGTAAATGAAGCTTCAAGCTTGCAATGGCAATCATCAGGATATGGACGTAATACTTCGGAATGGGCGTTTAATGTCAAAGGTTAATGTTACCTACAAATATTGTTGTTGCAAAATGCATTATGCTCAAAGGTATGAATCAATTGAAAATAGAGTCTATTCATTGTTTAGTGTTTTTGCTTCTAATTACACAGGACTTTGTCGGATGTTTGGCGTGCTGGTACCTGATTCGTTGAGAAGACTACCAAACAATGTTAACTGACAAATATTATAACGATTAGTTAGCTTAGCTAGGATTGACACCATTTGTGTTACACAAATCTTGTAGCCTTGTTGTGCGTTCATAAGAACAGTACAAACGTAGTACGGAGGGAAGGAGCCCGTATAGGTGAGTAAAGTTTTTAATTTAAAAAAATGATATTTCATATATTACAATTCAATTGATACTAATGATTGTCGTTTCTCTTTTCCATGTATTCACACCTGAATGTTACGCTATGGCAACCGTAAAAATAACTGAAACTACACACAAATTCGGGTCCAAATTTGACCGTGAATTTGTACCTGGTAATGGGTGAATTTGCATTACAAATTGTTCATTGTCTATAGACAAATTATTAGATGAAAATTCAGCTCAATAAAAACTTAAATATAATTTAATAAATTACTTATGTTCTCTCGTTCAAATGACAGAGAAGCTTAAAATGTGAGTTACATAGAGCTGTTGTTAAACATGAATGGTTTAGATGTAAAATAGATCTTATCAAAATCGCTTTTTTTTTTAAAAAAAAAGCAAAAAAAGCTTCAATTAAATATTTAAATTAAATAAAAAAAGTTTGAACAATGTATAGCATGCATTCACTGAGATTGTTGGACAACATAACTCGAAATTTGACTAGGGTCACTAGGGGCTTCGGCAAAATAGATATGCATTCGAAAAAAAAATCGGGAAATTTTCCGACAATCGTGTCAAAACAAGAGAATTATAATAATAAATAAAATGTCTTACATCCGTAAGATGAACTTTTCCGCACTGTGATCCACAACATGCATTTATTACAAATCTTTTACTTAAATTTGAATTCACGAGAAAACTGAATCTGACATTAGTTTTACGATACAAATAATTTTTGATAGACTTTTCATACAAAAATTACTAAAAATGGGAATTTTTGTCTCTTTTTTTCACAAAAAGCCGCGACATTCTGAAATATTGAAAAAATTTCAATCAAAAAATATATAAAAATTTCATTTTATATATTTTTCGATTGAAACTTTTTCAAACTTGGTGAGATTATTTATTAGTATATAAAAACTTACCAAAAATTTAAATTTTTCTGCACTTATAATATTTCGGCACACGAGAAGCGACTGACTCAAAAATAATTTGAGTGGTGGTTACAGGGCCTTTTATGTCCTTCTCTCTTAATGGATTGTTTGGTATTGCCAGATGGCCAGATGGATAGAGGGCGTTTGTGGTTCTGCTGACCCAACGAAAGATGGCGACACACACACACACACACACACGCGCGCTGTTGCGAAATGAAGAGAGAGAGAGAGAGAGAGAGAGAGAGAGAAAATGACCTGCACATTCAAATCTTACATAGCAAAAGAATGAAATAATAAGTTGCGATATATTGAAATTAAGCTAAAGAAAGGGGCCCACAAGTGCGACTAGAGAATTGTGAAACACATTAAATGAAACAATGCATGCAAAAAACCATTAGAGAAAAAAACAAGAGAAAAAAATAAAATAAACAATAACCCCTCATTAAAA